GCTAAAATGTGACTCCTTCCAGGCTTCCAACCAGCTGAACTATAATTTCTAACTCAAGACCTCATTTGTATTTAGGACAAACTGCATAAATTCTACAAAACTGAAAAGGTGGGCTTAATTAGCAGATTATTCATTTCTTTCAGATGGAAGGGCTGGTGATGGAGTCCCAGGTGGGCAAACAAGGTTCTGATGCTTGGCTATCGATGCAGTGATCTGTTCATTTGAGCCAAGGGGAGCGTTTGTCCTGCTGCTCATCACAGACCGCACTCCCATTCTTTTGAATCAGCTGCGTCTACCTGTTACGATGGAAACGCTTTGCCTTTGAATCATTCGTTTTCCCAAATGGATTCAGCCCATGAGTAACTTATTAAAGATCTGCACAGATTCTCTCTTAGCCAGTCAGAGTGAAAATTAAAAAAAAAACAAAGTCCCTTGTGTTTAAAGCGCTGCTGTATTAGTGCTGCATTATGTTTTTATAATGTGAGTTTGGGAAAAGAAAAACAGTTTACTGTACTGCTAGGACCCATTACAAATGAAGAAGATTATCTTTGACTCCTTTCAGAGGTTTGAGTACTTCAGAGTATGATGGAGTGTCATGGTCACCATACAGTGTTTGACAGTGACCATTTGCAAATAATTATTGTTACCATGGCATTCCCCATATAAAGCCTCAGTCCATTTAATCATGTGCAGTGGCAACACTATAATGATCTTGAAGATAACAGCTGTAGAGGCAGTATCTGTCAGGAGTTAAAAGAGGACTTGGAGAAAATTGTATTGCATTGTAAGTTAAAAAACGTGGTCACAATTTTACTGCAAATGTAAAATTGAGATTATTTCACTTGTTTCTAATTTTCCTTTTATTTATAAAGGCAATTGTTGGCTTTATTAACACTAGGGAAGGGAGGGAGTTGACAGGCTGTGTGATTGAACCCCTGAATTAGAGGGGTGAATTTGCTGTTGAGCACAAGGACTATGTTCAGTGTGTATTATTAATTCAAACATATTATTTCTCAGTTCTGGGAATAGCAGCATTATGCAGTGGTGGTGGTGGTGCCAAGCAGCCTGCCCAGCCCCACAGGGTTGCTGAACAGGGAAGTTCAGAATGGACTCTGTCTTTAGAGAGGGGTCATCAGTCTCAGAGGATGTTGGTCAGTCCTACCTTTGTCACTCCATCATCTCTGGGAGACATCAAAGTTTGCCTGACCCAGCCAGCATCCAGTGTGGTGACGTCCTGCCATCCTGAGACTGTCCCTGGGTAGAAGAGGAGCTGAAGAGCATTGGCTCTCCATGATTTTCTGTTCCTCCCATCAGCCTTCCCAGCCCCTTTGATGGAAATGCACCTTTTCTGCAGGGCGCGCTCTTGAGGAAAGGATGGCCTGTGTGAACGCTGATGGCTGGCAGACTGGCAACAAACCAGGGTGGCCTTGGAGGGGAACATCCTGCTGTTGGGCTGGTGTCAGCCTTCTGTGCACTTGGAAAGATCACAAAGACTTTTTGGCAAGAGGGCCCCGCACTGACAGTGCAGCTGGGGAGGGTTCCAGCTCTGTGTGCGCGTATGCTCTCTTCCCTTGCTTAGCAGGAACAGCTTCACAACTCTGAAAAGTGACCCTGTATATTTAGCTGACTTCACTGTTCCCTGTCAGCCTTATGTTTCAAGCTTTTTCCCATCCCTTTCCCACCTCTTCTGAGCTTGTCAGTATGTTTGCTCCAGTCCAAAGTTAAAGAGTCTTGAGCGAGTCAAGACTGGGAGTCTGTTCCCTTCCTCTTTTTTTATCTTACATTCCTCAGTGTTTGTGATTCTGGATGGTGTCCATGATGGAGCAGTGTCCCCTTACAGAGTGTAAAATGGAGCAGACACCCTCAGCTGCTTTTTGGAATCAGTATTATGCACTGAATGGTAAGAAGGAGACAATGCAGTGCTGTGTTGGCTTAGGTTTGATTTTTGATGGGTTCGAGGTTTTTTTAATTTTCCAGCTCAGTCTGTCTGCCGTGCCGTCTTCCCAGCTGGCCTTCTCCAGTGTTAAAAGTGATGCTCTGCTGTTCTATTTGTACTTGTAGTTCCTGATCATTTTTTGATGTCTCTTCACTCCTTTTTATCAGTACATGTTAAATCTCTTTTTCCTAAACTCATTCATCTCTCTGGCTTTTTGAGATGTTGCTTTCTCTCCTCATGCTCTGCTCATTTCCTTTGTGTCATGCTCCTATTCTAATAAACTCACCAGTTTGATCCCTATCCAGTTTATTAGTCAACATCTGACAATGGTGGCACAGGCAGTGGCCTGTATCAAATTTTGTTGCTTAGTTTCCTTTGCCATGTCCCTAGATTGGGGCTGTAACTCACAGTGGTCCTGTTTGGGGTATAAAAAAGGCCCACTGGTAGTGGTACTGAGTTGTGGTTTCTTGTTTTGTGGAACTTTAGATCAGACTTTGTCATGGCTGGTGTGCTACCCGCTGTGCAGCCGAGGCACTCCTCTGCATCCGTGTCACTGCTGCCCTGTTTTTACAGCTGTAGCACCCTGGAGCCCTTGGACCAAGACACTTATCCCCCCAGCTGATTGAGGAGTACTGATTTGCTGATACTAAATATCAACAGGAATTTATGGCTCTGCTTCCTTGACTGTAGTAAGCAGGTGAACTGGCACACTTTCAGGAGACCAGAGGCAGTTCATGGAGGAGTTCCTGATAGTTTTTGAACCCATGCCAGAGCAGAGATCCGGGGAGCCCATACAGGCTAGGTGAGATAGGTCCTTGGTCCTCTTTCCTCCCTCTGTGGGTGTGCAACCCAGGTCAAAGTCTGGCTTTTTTTTCAAAGAGGAGATGATCAACTATCATTTTGCATGCACTGAGCTGGGCTGACGTCAGTGGAGCTCTCTCAGAGTTTGACCCATTTTATTCAGTCTATGTTACATACCTCAGTACAAATGATGAAGCAGTGACTTAACACAGGCAATGATTCATAGCACAGGCACCTCTGCAGAGGATATCTAGATCTTTCCATAGCTGCACTTTTCTGAGGAACCACCTTGTTTCCAGCCAAGAATCATCTGGGAATGCCATCTGCAGCTGGGAGTTCTCTCCTCCATGCACCAAAACCTCTAGCACCTAACTTCTGAGCATGCTTTATCTCTGCCATGCCATAAAGGAGGGCACAGATGATCCTCCAGCATCTCATCCTATGAGGGTAACAAGCACCAAATGTTGCTGTAGCTCTTGTGTCAGAATTGTGCCATGTGGTGTGAATGTATTTAGCCTTGATTGCTCCCACAGATCTCGGTGTCAGTGAGCTCAGCCCTGCATATATCTGTGCTGCTTTCACTCTTTGCTTAAAGTCAGTCAGAAACTACTGCAGAAAACCCAGCCTTGCTGTGTGCTGCTTTCTCCCTCTTTGCTGTGGGCATATTGCTGGTGCAGAATCTGTTACTGCTGTTGCAGTGTGTTTATTGAGTGTTGTGCATTAATCTTGCAGCATCCTGTGGTGATGGAACGTCATCCTTGTTCCCCTGAGCAGTGATACTCCAAGCATGCCTTTTTTTGCATTCTTAGGATATGAACTTTTTTATCAGTCAAAACCCAAACTGAGCAGTAGAATGAACATCAAGAAAACATCTGTTTCCCTCCAGACTGGTTCTGGCCCAGCACAGCAGAGAGCAAGTCTGAGATCAGATGCCAGTTTCAAACCTGTAGAAGCTTTGATCAAAACACTTTGTGTTTTGCATTTCACTTTCCTTCCTCTGTTGAAAGAGGAAGAGCAGCAGCTAGTGCTACATAACACTACTTCTTTATAAACAGCATATTTGTTGCACAGTGCTGTTAAATATTAAGCAGTGTTATATATTTTATAAAGGTCTGATAAAGCACTTTGAAGAAGAAATTTAAATTATGGTGATGTGCCATTCCTATTTTCCTTTTGATTTGCTGCAGTTTTTTACATATGAAATCGAAAACAAATATTTGATGTATGCTTGACTTTTTCACTTTTGATCTCTATTTTGTTTTTCCTTCATAAGTAGCCCCTCATTTTCTGACCTAGCATTTTTGCAGATTTAAAGCAGTGCTTTTCCAAACAGTCCTTTATCCAAGTTCACACCAAAAGCGCTGTGGATTTGGACTCCACCCTCTGCCCCAGATACTCCTCAGCATGAAAGAAAAGCAAACCTGTCTTTTAACAAGATGAAACCAACTTGGGTAAACATTAGATTTGAATTTCCTGGCTCTCTGTGGAGCTGTAGTTCACATCTTGGCTAAATAACTCCTAGCCTTTCTTTCATTTGAAATGGATATCAGTCCACAGTTTGAAGATCTTTTGAATAAGATCTTTAAAGAATGACATCTCATCTGTTAGACACAGCCAGCAAGGATTTGTGGTGTCATGCCATGACTACCTGGCAAGATTGCTTGGTCCCCAGTTGCATGGTGGTCTTATGTACATGTGGTCCTACTTGGACCAGGTGCCCTCCAGAGGTTCCTCTCAACCTCAGCCAGCCTGGGATTCTGTGACTTCCACTTTCTGCTCCAAAAAGGGTTCCCTGTTACTGGGACTATGCTGGTAAGATCCTTGAAGGTTTTTGGAGTGACATTATTTTCTCTTTGGTGTACTGTCAACGATTATACATCCATTTGATGTAAGTTCAAAGCTTACTGAAGTCACTGAAAGTTTTCAGGGATCAGGGGAACTGGATGACCTGGCCATGCAGACAGAAAACATGTGGTGAGAATTTACATTGCTTAAACAGGGAAACAAAATCAAATGAAAGCTGTGTTTTTTCCCCCCAGTTTTTATTGAAATGTATAACTTGTCCCATGAAAGATAGACCAAGGGCAATCTCCCATTAGCTTGCATTATCATTTCCCATTCAGCATTTCCCTCGCACATGCGGGTCAAAGGAGAATGGATGCGTGCATGACCTAAATCCTTCAAAACCAGGGCACAGTGTTATTTTCCTAGGGAGGTCTGTCCTCTGGTTGTCCTCTGAGGGAGTTGCTTTCTCACCCCCCAGGATTGACGACTGTTTCTGTGCCTCTCGGAAGCTGGATGCAGTTGCCACCGAGGCCAAGTTCAAGCAAGACCTGGGTTTTCGGATGCTCAACTGCGGCCGGACGGATCTGGTTAAGCAAGCCATATCCTTGCTGGGGCCGGATGGGATCAACAGCATGAGCGAGCAGGTAACGGGATAGACATTTACAGGAGCAGCTGTGAATTGGGAGAGTTTTGTCTGCTTGTTTTGTCACAGGGAATGAGCCCCAGCTTTTTTCAGCTTTACGTAGACAGGACCTTACTGCCAGGTGAACATCTGCGTTAACTGAGGTCATCTTGAGTTGTATTGATTTGCCAGTACTGAGGTAACTCAGCGTGAGGGCAACTGCATCCCCCGAAATCTTCACAGTGAACTGAGTTGAGTGAAGGCAGAGGAAGATCTCAGGAGAGCTTAGTGTTGAGCTGAATACTTAAAACCGCTTCAGTGCCTCGCACAGTGCTGTGAGACAGGGCTTTGTGAGGCGAGCAGCCTTCCACTGCACACAGCTCTGGGATCTGTCACCATGTGCATCACTCAGCCTGTCAGTAAATGGTTAATTCCTGGTGCTCTTTAATGGATTTCAGTCCAGTTTGAATGGACCTTGCAGAGGGAAAGCATCTCCACAGTTACCCCTCCGCTGGTCAACATCCACCAGTTGAAGAGCCTAAATTTCCTTGGAGTTACACCTCTGTGAGGCTGGTGGTTGTGCTAAAGCTGCCCTCTGCAGCTGCCTGCTGGCAGCTGTCTGCTGGACTGTGATGTTCAGCGAGGTGGTTCCCCCTTCCCAGAGGGAAATGTTGATGGATACTAACCTTTCCTTTTGAAATAGAGTCCCCTGACCTTTCTGGTGCCCCGATGCAAGTTTGTCACTGTGTGCTCCCAGAGCTGTGGGATCATTTTTGACAGGAGCCAGGTGGCTGCCACCTCTCTGGTGGTGATGTGGGACAAGAGCTGGACTGTTCATGGGTTTAGGTCTTCTGAGATGAAAGCTGTTTCAGAAATGTGAGTTATTTTGAATCAGTATTATGGATTCATCTGAGAAAAGCTTTAGAAGAGGGCAATACTTTCTGCAAGAAAAAATAGTATCAGACTGCTCATTCCAAGATTCATACAGTATACTTTTTAAAATTATTGTTATTTTAAGTTAGTCTGAACCTGGAAACTTCTCACAACGTATTTCCTCTGTCCTCCAGGCTGAAAACCAGGAACACTCTAGCTCGATTCATCAAAGTACCTAATCATATGCTTAACTCTGAACACATGCTTTTACATCCTATTTGAGTGAAAGTTAAACCTGTGCTTAAATGTTTCGTTGGATCAAATGTCCCACATCTTGCAGGATCCCACATCTTTCGGGACAGAGCCCTAAGTCATGCAAAGCTGAAAGAAAGACAGTAATTTTATATTTTGCCAGAAGCCAAATGCCCTTTGTGTTGATTGTACACATTGTTACTGTGTTCCTGTGTGTGCTTTGAACACTAATGATGGGCTCATTAAAAATCCATTCCTCCCACGTGCAGAGATGGGGGTGAGTGGTGCTGCAGCACAAGGCTGAGCTGCGGGGCAAGCTCGGGGCAGAGACTGGCAGAGGCAAAAGCAACAGGGACAACAGTGCAAGGGAAGGGGAGGTTAAAATCCTCATTAACACTTTAAAACCCTGACACTGCAGCATGACATTCTGAGCCCCTTTTAGTGGGTGTTAAGTCCTCCTTCAGCTGCAGCTGGGTCAGAACATCCTGTGTGATTCCCAGGCTGAGCTTTTGCTCTGGATGTTGCCGCAGGATTCCTCAGCTGTGGCTGCCCACAAGCTGTGTCTTGCAGGGGGAGCCCCGGCACTGGGTTTTCAGATTCTTTTCTACAGATCTGATTAGACCCCTCGTGCTCACTGAACACTTGACTTAATTATCCAGTGATGCCACTTACAGAAACTGAAAAACCAGTTGGAGGAACCTGTATTTAATTTTAAGCTGCTACCCCATCCTTGTGTTCCAAGGCCCAGGCACAATTTTTTTTGTAATTCACATGGTCCTGTTTATTCCCATAGTGTTTACTGACTGCCAGAGGAAACGTTTTGCCACTGGCTATGGCTGAAGTCCTTTCAAATTCTCTTTGCAAATAGCTTCAAGTCACCCAAGAACTCTCATTGCTTAGGGTGAAGTTCTTTCTCAATAATGGCATGAATGGCCCCAAGTGCCCATTCCACAAATTCACTGCAGATTGGATCCTGTGAAATGCTCAGTGTCTTTCAGGAAGGATTTAAGGACCTTGCAGGGACAAACCCTAATTTAGTTTGTCTCTACAGGAGCAGCCCTTCCATACATAAGCACCCCACTACCTTTAGTCCTTGAGGCAAACAGGAAAACTGGGGTAGTTCAGCAAAAACAGTGGTGCTAGGCTCCTGCTAGGAAGTGTCTGGCCGGGACACGTACCTCCAGTTTCTCTGAAAATAACTTCCCTTCATAGCAGTACTTGTGTTAAAGAGCAAGTGGACTGTGGTCTGACGGCAGATTTACTGGGAGACCTTGAGGCAGGCTGCAAACATGCATCAGAGGTAGCTGCATGAAATTCAGGAGATTTACTGCAAAGCAACTGGTGGCTGTTGGTCAACACCCCCTACTGTACTTAATAAGCAGCTTTTGCTGTTATAATTTGCAATAGGTTTAATAATTTTGTTCATGGTTTCATCTGGACTCATTACCACAGCAACAGCAGTACTTTCCTTGAGGGAAATGGTGTTCAGGCATAGCAGGTATTTCAGATTAATACAAATTGCATTGTGGTGATTCTGTAGTGAAGGGTCACTTAATCTACCTTTTCTCCAAGCAGGGCCGTGTTTTCCTAGAGCCAGCAACTTGCAACAAAGCTGTCTGGCATTTCATTTAAAATTAAGTCCGTGTTTGCAGGGAGTGCTATACAAAGTCTTGACATTGCCAGCCTCTTACAGTATCCATGTTGAAAAAGCTGTGCTCAAATCTGACTGATCTTAAAAGGAGCTTGAGATGTTTTAAAGGCTTTCTCAGTAATTGAAAAGTTAGATTTTTAGACACTCTGATTATAGAAAACTGAATAGAATTCTTGTCTTTCTAAAATACCAGTGGCAATAATGGTTGCTCTGGTGAAAACGTGTCTCTGCTGGGGCTCCAAAGACAAAGGTGCTCAGTTTAGTATATGATGGAGGTGAGGCTGGCAAGCCTAGTTTCACTCACCATGCTGAAGACAACATGAAAAATACAAGCAGTAAGCACAAGTGACAACAAAAACGGAGATTTTTATAAAAGTGTTTGACTTTTGCTACTCTGAGGGGCATGTTTGTAACAGAGGTAATGGATTTCATTAAATACATGCTGTTAGTCTTGATGCTGTGTATACTTAAATAATTGTTTTTAAAAATCAAAGAGAGTTCTGTGTTAAATTTGTCAATTCCTTTGTTTTTTAACTCCAAAAAATGACTAGGGCATGACTCCACTGATGTATGCTTGTGTCAGGGGTGATGAGGCTATGGTGCAGATGCTGCTAGATGCTGGAGCAGATCTGAATGCTGAGGTGAGGACTTTTTGTTGGTTGTATTTTTTTTCTGTTGTTTGTTTACATCTTAAACTACCTCCTGGAACTGTAGCGGAGCGAGAATCGCAAGAATTAAAAAGAAAACAAATCTGTCTTATCTGGGATTGGGACCTCTTGAAATGAACAGTGAAATCAAATGGCATTAGGCTAACACTGGGATTCACTGCACAGAAGGGCTCCAGTCATCAGACTTAACCCACAAGTAACAGTGGTTTAGCTGTGTTTGCACACTGCAAATGAATACAGGCATTAATGAGCATTGGCCCTGAGCAAAGCTCTGATGCTGCTAGAAGGACTCAATCTCAGCTGACTTTAAATGAAGAAGGTAAAAGAAACACCCATCTGGTAACCTGCCAAAGCTCAGCATTTCTGTGCATGTGGATGTTCCAAGTGAGCATCCCCAGCACACAAGTGCCATATAGGTTCCACTGTTTTGTTTTACAAAGTGCCTTGGGCTAAAAACTGTTGGATGAGGAGCTTGAAGCTTCCAGAATATAAATGTCTCATTGATGAATGCACATCACAAACTCGGACAATCTGTCCACCAAACAGATTGTTGTCCACCTCAGTGCAATGCAGGTATGTACATTTTTAAAGAGCCATTTGAAAATCTGTGGAAGAGTTATTTGTTAATGATTCCAGTTTCAATTTGTTGAGGTCATGAGTGAATTAAGCTGTCTGCTTCACTTATCTGTGTTCCATCTGTTCTGTTTGGACTTGAGCGAGCTGATAAATTGGAGTCACTGCTTCAGACAGATGTTTTGCACTTTGTTAAAAGTCTAATTTAACAAGCACAAATGGGTGTCACCTGTAGGAGACGGTGTTACTACCATGTCGTGAAATCAGCTGGTGATTTCAGTTCCCCACAGGCAAGCACACCACCCTCACAACTGGCAGTATCTCAACACCCTAGTCAGACCAAAGACTGGATGTGCAGGGAGGCTGATGATCTCTTCCTTATCCCTGCCTTGTGGCTCAGATGTGAGGTGGCATTATTTGGTTCCTAGGATGAGTTTTCATTAGGAGCAGTCCTCCCGATTGCTCCAGTAATCTTCCAGGGTTGAATCAAATGCAAATTTAAACAGTTTTGTCTTCCTGAAACTGCTGACATATGAGAGAACAGCTCCAGTGAGGAATGTGAACCTCCCCAGTTCATTGCTGTAGAGTGTTTGCTCTAAAATCAAATGAAAACACTTTTGGACAAGATCTGTGAGTAATTATGGCATGCAATTATAAGATGATTTGTGCACACCATAACCAACTGTGCAAATTGGGCAATTATGGCAAAAAAAGGCAAATCAGCCATGAACAAAAAAAATATTCTGTCAGGTGCCTGCATAATTTTCTCCCTTTCACTTTGCAAATATGTTTCCAAAAGTAGCCTCCGATGATGGGCACCTCCCTTTTTGATTGCCCATCCTTAGTGAAAACCGACTCATTTCCAGATGTGCTGAGAAGCTGCAGTTTGCTCTGTACTCTGTGGGACCTGTAGCTGCTCCGCCAATCTCATCCTTAAAAGCTTACCCAGCCACAGGTCTTTTGCGAATGCTGTGTTGGAGAGAACTCTGACTTTAAAGAAAAGCAAAAAACAAAACCCAGAAAAAAAACCCAGCAAAACAAAAAGGAGCAAAGGAGTTAAAATGACTTCATTTTCTTTGCCGTTTTCCATGGACTGCCCCAAACAGTGGTGGGTGCCATGCTTGAGGAGGAGCTGGATGCATTCACTGAGCCGTGGTCCTGCCCCATCCTTACCCTCTGCTGCTCTTGCTCCACATCCCAAACCGCAAGGCTTGAGCTGCTCAATCCTTTTCCTTCTGACCAAACTCAGCCCTAAGGAGCCCTGTGGCAGGGGGCAGCACACTCCTTGCAGTGCCCTTTGAGTTCTCTCTGTGGCAAATCTGGGTGGTAACAGCCAGGTGCTGGTGCAGATCTGCATGGAGTCTTCAGATTTTGCCCTCATCCCTGTCCTTGGGCCTGCTTCTAGCCAAACGCTGCATGTGGTGCTTGGAAATGCGAGCTGCTGATGGAACCAAATATTTAATGACTGGCCCTGCTCCCCTGTATGGATAAACGTACTTCAGACAAGGTAGTGAAAGCAGAGCTGGCTGGTGAGACAGAGAGATGGTGCAGCTTTTACTCTGATTTTAGTCCTCCTCTGAAGTTTAATAACAAGATTTTGAATTTTAGTGTCACACTCCATCTGAGTGTGCAGCCTTGGATTGCATATGTTCATTAGATTCTACCAGCTCTGTGAACCTCATCAATATTAATACCCCCATCTTTAAGACAGGGAAACTGAAGCAAAGAATGGTTATTCATCTTCCCCAATGTCTACATTAGAGGCACCAGGCAGTAAGGCATAGAAAATGGAAGGAGCAATCCGAAGAATAGCATTTTGTTTTCTAAGGATATAGTTTGCATCTCTTTTAACTGTGTCAGCACTTTTAGCTCAACTCAGGAGAAGGCAGCAAAAGGGAGATTTTCTTTAACACTTCTGAAGTGACACTTTGCCCCATCACTTCTCAGACTTTTTTTTTTTCCATCTGGTGAGAGAGGAGGAGCCTGGAAGAATGCCTGCAAACTCCAGGGTAGGGCTTGTGATGTGTGTTTCATGAGGGCAGTGACAAAAGTACTGATTTAAGTACTTTTTAAGTAAAGAAATTAAGTAAAGAAATTTGGCTGGGCCTGCAGCAATCCCAAGACCCAGGGCTGTTGGTACCTGGTCTGGTGAAGTCGGTGGGAGTGGTCCTCAGCTGTAAGTGTCCTGATCCATCCTTACTTCCCCAGTGTGTGCTGTTGTAACCAGCTGTGGATGTTTTGCCCTTGTGCAAAAGAATCTGGTGGCCAGTGGTTTAGATGGAGCTACAGTAGTTGGTAAAAGACTTCATTTGGTAAGAACTCAAATCAAGCTGTCATATCAGCATGAACAGTTTTAATATCGAGAAAAATTTTGCAGGAAAAAATGAAGCCAATCATTTTATAAAGCACCTTTCCCAGGTTTTCTATTTCACTTACTTCCTCACATGCCTGGCTTTCAGGCAAGTTGAATTTTGTTACATACAGCTCTTTAAAAAAATAACTTTAATTTGTTTATAGGTTGTCAGTACTGCTCATAAATACCCATCCGTCCACCCTGAGACCCGCCATTGGACAGCTCTGACATTTGCTGTGTTGCATGGACATATTCCTGTAGTTCAGGTATTATTGTATTTCCCTACCTGCATCTCATTTTTTTTTTCCTCCTCTTCAGTTCTAATTACATCCATCTCAAACCAGCATCCTCTTGTCATACTCATATTGGTTACTTCTGCTTCTTCAAGAGTGTACTGATACATGATAGACTTAAAAAATGAATATGGTGTTCAAACCTTAACCAATATGAGGCTTAAACAGGACAATTTTAAAGCAAAGTTGCACCAAAGAAAGTCTGACAACTCCTTGTGCTCCTTCCTGACCACTTGTTTTATATGTCTGTTTATTCATTCATTGCACTTTTTTACACTGTAATGTTCTAGCAAACACAAAACCGCTGCCTTGGTGGGAGAGAGGTGGACAACAGCCCTCGTGCTGCTCCAGAGGGGGAGAATCCCTCACTCTCCTTACCCCATCCAGGTGTTGTGTGGGATGTGCTGGTTCTGTGCTTTGGCATCTCAAAAGCTGAGAAGGTTTATTCTACAAAACAGCCGTGTCTGTGACACGCTCAAGCACCAAAACTTTGAAGGCCTTAAGACAGAAATGGCCAAGAGGGGGCTGGAGCACAGGCTCCATCCCGCTCTCCTTGGCCACTTTCGTTTTCAGCATTGTTGCTACTTGTGTGGAAATGTCCCCGATGGAGACCACAGCTTTTGGACTCATTGCTGCAATTGGTTCTTAAGAATTACCTTTCTGTTGGCCATGTCTTCATGTAAAAGATGGAGACAATTGAAATCTGATCCATTTTTGGATGGTGCTAGGCTTCTAGAAGACCATGAAGGAAGGATGCTTGTCGGGCTAACTTTCTTCCATCTCCAGTGCATTACTTCCTAACACTGACCTTACCCCATTCCCCATTCAAAGACACTGGGTTACACTTTTTTGGCTCTGAAGTTGGACGCTGGTGCTTCTGGTGTTTGGCAGCGTAAAATGAGCGAAAAAAGGAATGAATTTGCCTCTGTGAAACAACGGGCAGAATTTGCATGTCACGTGTCTCCATTGTATCTGGTTTGCAGATAATAAGAAGCATTAGATTCTCATTTGTCACTGTTCATGAACTCTGAAGACTGTGATACCCCCAGCTGCTCTAAATGGTGAATTTTCTTTCTAGCTATTGCTGGATGCTGGAGCAAAGGTAGAAGGTTCCTTAGAGCATGGAGAGGAAAATTACTCTGAAACTCCTTTACAGCTCGCAGCAGCTGCTGGTAAGGACTTTTTCTTGTCCCACTGTAACAATTCCTCAGCTGGGATCTGTAGTTTAAGTGAGCTGGATTTTCAAAGGAGTAAAAATGCATCTCTTGCCTTGCAGGAAATTTTGAACTGGTGAGTTTGCTGTTGGAGCGAGGAGCTGACCCCATGATAGGAACAATGTACAGGAACGGCATTTCCATGACTCCACAAGGTGACATGAACTCTTTCAGTCAGGCTGCTGCACATGGACACAGGTAGAGTGGGAACAAGTCTAGTGGCATCCTTCAAGTGCTACTTTTTTGCCTGGGCATCCAGTTAGAGCAGATGGGTGAAATTTCTGCATGAACTATTAAACATGCCACCAACTGAGCAGAGATGTAAGGCTTTCTGCTAGCATGTGAATTAAATCAGCTGGTGGTACAAGCTGCGTTTTGATTTCTGACGTAAAAAAAAAAAAAGGAAGGGGACTTCTTGTGGTGTGTTCAATGCAGTGGTTGTTAAATGGCAGCTGATGTGGCAGTAGAAAGGAATGTCAAAAACATTCCTTCTGAATTTCTTAATATTTTTCTCAGGTTTGACTGAATTGTGTCTGTAGTGCTGCAGCCTTAATTTTGTTGAATAGAGTTTCTGCATCTATGTTTGCTGTAAAGTCCTGTGTGTCTTAATGTTGTTTGTATGCTGCAAATTTAAAAAAACAAACAAAAAAAAAGAACTACTGAGATGAGCACCTGGCATGCATGACATTGCAACGCTCAGGAGTTGACTGCAGTGTAATGAATTAGTATCATGATCTTCACGTTCCTACTTTTCTGATTGTAGCCATCCAGAGGAACATAGATACAGGTTAGAGACAGTACCTACCGTGTGTTTGCTTAGAGACGAGCTGCCAGTCTAACAACACGTCAGGGCGGGTTCAACAGCTCTGCCCCTCTGGAGCCTGCCAGGGATCCCTGGCACAGACGGGACACTTTGGGCGTTGAAGTCTCACATTCAACCAGTGTGAATGGGAGCTGCAGGCCCAAGGAGAACCTGGGGCTCTCCGTGGCTTGGCTGCTGGCTGTCCACGTCATGGACTCTGACTCTTGTGTTCCTGCCTGTATAGCTCTCACGCACACCTTCTTCCTTCCCTCTCTGCCCTAAGTTCGTTTGGGACACACCATGCTGTGGTCTAAGCGGGAGCAGGGGAACACTGGTATACAAGGAGGGTGGGCTGGGAGCCAGCCTAGTTTCTCTTCTCACAGCTGCAAAACCAAGGGAAACTATTGAGGTTGATGAGGTTATGCTGGTGTGAACCTGAGGGCACAAAGTCTCTGAGTTTGGGCTTTGTTACTTGAAGGCCCAGCTGGATCAGTGGCTTTGTAGAGTAGTCCCGGCTCTGCTTGAACCTGCCCTGACTGGCCTTGTTGAATGTCTAGCTGCTCTAGCTTTCCCAAACTGCTTTCAGTGTGAATCGAGTGGCGGTGCTTTCAGTAGCTCCAGGCAGCTCCCTTCTCACGTGGTTGCCGTGGTGGGAGTCCCAAGAGCTTGTCCAGAAGCACCTTGGCCTTCCTTGGTTGCTGAAGAAGTCTTGAGCCACGTTTAGCTCACGAGTCTCTGTTCCCACAAGATGCCGCCACTCTTGCGACACCTGTGCGGTTCCTGTCACGACAGCAGTGACTTGCAGATGTGTCCCAGGCAGTGCAGGTGGGTTAGCAGGAGCTGTGCTTGCCTTGGGTCTGCTCTCAGCTGGCTCTGCCATTTAGCTGGAGTAATTTCTTGGGTAGGTGTCCTAAGTTGCCACATCACAGCAAGTAAGCCCAGTGCAGTGAAAGCCTGGCCACTGACTCTGCTCTCCTTTTCCTCTCCTTTCCTCCCCCCTCTCTCTGCCACGCTGTGATTGACAGGAATGTTTTCCGCAAGCTGCTTGCTCAGCCAGAGAAGGAGAAGAGCGATATCCTGTCCCTGGAGGAGATCCTGGCTGAGGGCACGGACTTGCCCGACTCGGCAGCAGCTCCTCTCTGCGCCAGCCGCAACAGCAAGGCCAAGCTGAAGGCCCTGAAGGAGGCCATGTACCACAGCGCCGAGCACGGCTACGTGGACGTCACCATCGACATCCGGAGCATAGGTCAGTCCTGGGCTCCTTCCTCTTCTTCGTCCGGGAAAGGACCACTGTGAGAAATGTCCCCCTTGAGGGGCTGTTGCTTAAACTGACCACAGTCACATCTTCCTCAGCTCTTTCGGAATAGGAGGTGGTGGGAGATCTGACAGGTTCCCAGCCCACTGCAGCTCCACAACACACCCTGTCCAGGGGCCAGTGGCTTTTTTCTGCAGGACACAGTGGTTTCCACCGGGTATCTCCACAGCTGCGTGGCAGAGTGTAGGTTAGGCTCTGGGGCAGTGTTCAGCTGTCATGGGCAACCTCCAGCTGCTTCTCTTTTGCACTCTGCTGTAAAGCAGTCCACCGTTAAAAATACTTTATTTTCTGAGACTCCGAAGGCAGGAGCAGAGAACTGACTGCTTGGTGTGCCAGCTCTGCCAGTGAGGGACTTGAACATCATACCAGCCCACTGTGAAGTTGCTTCTGCCTGTGGGGAGGGTGGCTGTGTGGCGCAGATGGAAATTGATCTGGACTGTGTACTTACCATCCCCAGTCATCTGTTCACAGAGAAAGAGAGACCCAAGTGCCTGGTGTGCCTCTGCCTGGGGCAGTGCTCCAGCCCTGGGGACATGGGGTATGGGTCAGAGTTGTGCAGTGGGCTGTGCAGGCAAAGATCTGGAGACGAATGAGAGGAGAGTGGCAGGGGTGCTCTCCAGGCATTGAGCATTTTCTGACGTGGAAGGAAAAACCTTCACTTGCCAAACACCAGGCTTGTGTTTCTTTCCGCTTTGTTCTGTAAGAGCAGAAAGTAGGTCACATCCAGCCTCATGCCTGCAGAGGTACATCAGCTCCCTGTGCTTTCTCACTCAGTGCATGGGAGCAGTTCCCTTTAACTGGCTGGAGAGGGGTTCTGCCATGACAAGCTGCATGAAAGGGCTGATTTGCTTAACTCGCCCAGTGCTCTTTAGGGAAAATACTAATGATCAGGAGAGGACATGGGGTATCACTTAAAGCAAGTTTTAATCTGAAGACCACCAATTTGAATCCAGGTAGGTAGTGACCAAAATCAGGTTTTTTCACCATTTAATGGCTCTCCAGGGCCACATTCAAACAAATGAGCTAGTGTAAATCTAGTTTTCAAAAGGCTTTTGCGACGCAGAACACCACAGCAATTACCACAAATTGGTAGTCTCAGCAGAGAAGCTGAAGGCTAGATGAGCAGAGAGACCACAATCTTCTCTTAGCATTTGGAGGAAAGCCTCTGTGCATTAGCTCTGGGATGTGCTGATAACCATCAGCCTTCTCAATTAGGGATAAATAGGAATTTGATTTCTTGAATGATTTGGCAGCTTCTGCTTAAAATCTTAACATCAGTAAAGGCAGAAGGGCACATCCTTCCCTGGAGCTGGGAATGAGCTGTGTCTTCTGTCTGCAGGTGTTCCCTGGACGCTGCACACGTGGCTGGAGTCCCTGCGCACGTCCTTCCAGCAGCACCGACGGCCCCTCATCCAGTGCTTGCTAAAGGAGTTCAAGTCCATTCAGGAAGAGGAGTACACTGAGGAGCTTATCACACAAGGATTGCCTCTGATGTTTGAGATACTGAAGGCCAGCAAGGTAGGATAAATAATGTGTTTTAAAGGAAATCAGCCTTATTCACATCCTGTAAGACACTAAAGTTTGCGATATTATTTTTGAGCAGCTCTCCCAAAGGTTGTTTAGACTGCACAGGATTATTATTACCTGTATTGGGTATCTCAGGTTTTTTCACTGTGGAAGCATGGGTTATAAACACACAGGCTAATCACTGCTCCTACTAGAACAGCCTAATAAGAGGTGCTAACAGTAAGCTGGAGAGACAAAAGAAGCTGGTACATAGTGGTGAAATTAAAGTCAAAAGGGTCATGTCAGTGTGGCGAGAGATGTTGATAACCAAACCAACCCAAAGAGTAATTTCACCCAGCTTGTTTTACAGAAACATACAACAAAGCTAATATTCATGTTTACTTTGGATTTCTTTAGCCTGTCACGACTTTCTCTTCCCTTCATGTGGGATTTGGACTTGCGAGGAGACTGGTTTCTACAAGCACAGAACAGGATAATTTTTTCAAATTTTCTGTGTGCATGTTTGCACTTGCAGCTTCCCCAGATTTATTCTTTTGGCTGACTTTTTTTTTAGCCAAGCAAATCAGACTAACAAAACCTTTCCAAGGAGGTGCCATTAAGTATGCAAGTATAATGGCAAAAGGGGTGATAATGGGCCTGGCAAGGAGAGGAAAATATCTTACCTAGTGAAGAATTTTAAACTTGTTATAACCAATAGTCTCTTCTCTACTTGTTCCCTTGAGAGTTAGTCACTCCCAATGCCCAGCCTCCATCTACTGTTACCTGAAAATCCTTGTGGTGATGAAAAGCATTAAAATTATTTGATGGTGTTCTGTTTCCTCATGCTCCACAGTACATGTTGGTGTGGCCTTCTAATTGTTAAACTGAAAGTAACTTTTAACACCCAGCTCTATGTGTAACAGCAAGGAGCAAATAATTTTTAGCAGTAGCCTAAAGAATGTGAAAAGGGGAGAGGTTCTGGTATACTCAATACTAAATATACCAAACTTGGTATAGCTAATGATAGCCTACATGGGTTTATTTCTTGTATCTTGCTGCAAAAGCAGGCTTGGACTAGAGTCCTGAGCAAATCCTGCATATTTATTCCAGCATTGTTCTGATTTTTGCTCCCAAGAGCCTTGCCTTTGCAGTTATTTTGTATTGGATGGGTATTTATGGAGACTATTTTGAGATAGGTTTTAGGAAATTGTTCCAAATCCTAAGATTTGTAGATTCCTTGTTCTGTACTCATTTGGGTTAATGCATGTTCATCTAGAAACTACCAGCAAAGTGCTGTTTGGTTTGAAAGTTTGTATGAAATTAATCATATTGAAAACTTTAACAGAGAATAAGTTTAGGCCTTGTAATCTAGGATGAGGGGTGTCTTTAATTGCTTTTCTCCTGGGTGGCTGAAGCCCAGGCCAGCAATCATCATTAGAATAAATCATTTACATAGGATTATACCTTTGGTACGTCTAGGTCTTCCAGAGTCTGTTGTAGGAGACTTGGGAAAAAAATAAGACTGCTACCTTCTGCTTTGGGTTCACTTAGAAACCTAAAATATGGAGGGGCAAAACAACTGAAGTATCACAAAAACCCCTAAACACCAAAGAAAAAGTCTGTGCTGATCTTTATGCCTGCCCCTGGGCCTGGGGGAACTGCCTGTCTTTATGCATATTCACAAACACACACTCACACAGTGTTTCATAGTCTTAGAAAAAATAATTAATCATTCTGGGACACTGTAAGGGTTTACAAATTGTCTGCAAATGTTATGAATTATTGTGGTGGTCTTGTCCAAATGGCCTCTTACAAAGCTCTCCCAGACAGAAATGAGAAAAGAGACTATGCAACCCTTTGGAAGGAATCTTTTTGAAGGAATTAATTTCTAGGAGAATGAGCCAATAAAAGTTCTCTCTGGTCACTCCATAGAAGGCAGCTGAGGAAAGCTGAGATTTAAAGGATCTTCTGTTCCCCTTCTGTGGAAGGGCTGAGAGCAGAGATTTTTTGTGTATACCCACGGAATGGAAATCTCCTTTAAGAGATGCAGAAGGGCCATTACTGTGGTTCACATCCCTCTCTCTTGACAGCAAACTGTAAAGCTCTGCATTTTGTAGAGCTGTGGAGAGAGGAGCTTGATTTGCCCACACGGGCATCCTTTTCCCTGTGGGCTGGAAACTTCGAGAGAGATTATGACTCTTGCTAAACATCACAGTCTGGCCCAGTACATTTCCTTAATGAGTTTTTCAGGGCAAAAAGTATAAAATAAGCAACTAGGAAGCAGAGAGCCACTTAGCAGTTCTTGGCTGATGTAAAACAAGATGTCCCATTTGCTACATATTGTGATGCTCAGTATATTTTAATTGCATGGCAACTTCCACCTAGTAGAAATGGCATTTTGTGTTCCTATAAATAGTTCCAGCTATCCCATAATCTCAGAACAATTTACTAATATTAATGAGTTGAGACATGGAAGAAGATCTTATCCTCCCTTCACCAACAGGGAAACTGAGGTAATTAAACAGGCAGATTTTCAATGTCTCATGGAGTGACAGTCCCAGTCTCAGAGGCTGAGATAACCTGGATAAGCCAAGCAGCAGTTTGTAGTTTTGAGTAATTTGACCAGAGAAGCTCCCCCAAAATCACATGGAAACATAAGGGCAGGTCTCAGGGTAGGAAGCAAACTTTCTGCCTCCACCTTCTATTTTGCACTGTTGTAAAAATGTTCTTGCAGGTTCCCAAGCCATGCAAAAAAAAAGCCAAACGCTACAGATATGAAAATATTAAAGAAAATGTAACCAACACTTACAAGAACAATGTCAGGTATGAGGAATCCCTTTTGTCTTACAGATGGTTTATAAAATGCCACAGATGTGAGGGTTTCAGTGGGATCTCTGCCAGCACTGATGCTGGTGACCTGTAGGGTGGCAGGGTGGCACTCCATTCCCGTCTGTGTGTCGGGATGCTGACAGGAGAAACAAAAACAAAACTTGCAGAAGTCCTGATGCTGTAACACAGAACAGCAACAAAAATTGGCCAGTCAGGCAAAACTGGCTGAGCTGATGTCCCTGGGTTTATTGTCTTTCTTCAAGCTGTGAAGTAAGTGGGGGAGAACAGTGTATAGGTTGCACATGGGTTGCTCACTGCTGCGCTGAAGCCCTGGAGGAAGTCTTCCAAAATCACAGATGAAGGTTTTGATACCCAGCTCCTGGAGGCTTCCAGTGGGATGGAGCTCTTTCATTTCCTTTCATTCCTTTAACTGTCTTACACTGGCTGCACCATTGAGAATTGCATGGGGAGTGGGGAAGTAGCAGTACTTCCATGCTGCTGAGGCAGAGCTGTGAGAACAGAGAGAACAGTCGCTCCCTCCACGGTTCCTGCTGTCCTACAGTGAGTTTGGGTCTTTACCAAATTAAAATCCAGGCTCAAGGTCCTCTGGAAAAAGCAACATCTGTGGGAAAGACATTGAGAGCTCAGTTTAAGTCACCTCTCCTGAAAGCAAGCAAAACCCAAACTGGGAAAACTTCGACACTAAAAATGTCGATGACACATGATGGTTTTGAGACACTGATAGGAAAGGCACTGCCATTTAAGGATGGATTCAATCTCTTTGAAAGACAAGCACACAAATGTAACCTGCTAGAAGTGGTTTGGACAGGGCTGTGTGAGGCAGAAGCCAGTGTCACTTATGGAAGTGAGTAGCCCCGAGCTAAACTTTAGCTGCTGTGTAGGGCAGAGTTGAGTCCCTCAAAATTAAAATGATGCTTGAGGTCTTGTTATGGAAGATTGGTAGGAAGATACAACTGAATTCCTGCCTGTTGGTATCTGTATTGTCCTCTTCATGGCTTGGGAAAACTCCCCCAAACTCCTGACTGAAAGCTTTCCTTCCAGCTGAGGTTGATGTTTGCATTGCCTGAGCTTGACTCTGAGCTGGATTGCCCACCTGCCCCATGTCACAGGACCATATTTGCTTGAGGAGTACCCCCGCCCCCCCTTCAAATAGGGGCTTTTAAAAGAGCTGTGTGGAGGCTGCATCCAGGTCCATGGGCTTGTAGTGCCTGAGGTGAGGCTCACAGATCAGCTCTTGTGTTTTTTTGGAGAGTCTCTTAAGGATAATACGCTGAATATGCAGTTTGTGTCCTCTGTCTACAGAAATCCTGGAGCTGTTCAGTTTGATATTGATATTTCCACAACCTGAAAAGAGAGAGACACAAACCCACAACCTTGGAAGTTAAACACATCTGGCCTTTGGAGGCGGTTTGGTTTAGATTTCCACTCCAGGACTCTGGAGTAAAGACTGGATTGTCATTAAATCACCAGCTCCATCCATATAGATGAGCCAGCATTGCCAGTTCTATGAGGTCACGAGCCAGTTTCATCCACTGCTTTTTCTGCCTACAGCAATTTACATCAGCTTGTCCTTGGCCTATTTTTTGGAGAAAATACACAATCTTTTAATTCCAAATAATCTCTTTTACAACTTTCTCCCTTTCCCCTGTAGGACAGGTAAGGAGCTCTTTGCCATTTCTTTGGATCCTGTGTGGCTATGCATTGCTGAAGTGCACGTGTGAGTCCACATGTGCATTGAGCACATGTGCTGAAGCGTTGTCTGAAGCTCCTAGAGGTGCTTCACACCAGGAAAACTTGGCTTAGGACTTTAAGTGTTCCTGCTAGTGTATTGTCTAAGACTAAATCAGCTTGAGAAGGAGCAGTCCTTCACTGCCATACCTTCATTGCATTCTGCAGCTCTCTCTTCATCCTTCCCATCTGTTTCTGTCAGTGACACCATGTTTATTTTATTTAGTTTATTTTAATATTTAGCCCATTAGTGAGGTGTTGGGCAGCCAGGCTTGTTGAAAGATGCAGGAAACTACTTCGTAAGGATGTTTCCTCAGGATACAAAATTCCTGCAGCTTTCCAGCCTTTACAAATTCACCTAGAGGCAGCTGAAGAAATGTGCAGGAGTGCGCTGGCTCTTTTGGAAAGCTGAGCTGTTTGAATAACAGCCCTCA